TAGGCCCTTGGCTGAGCCTTTTCACCCAACTTTCTAGAAAAACCCAGGAGCGGACATCTCTAGTCCACCATTCGTATTCCACGTTGGCAGTAGTCTCCTATCATACACCTAATTCCACAAAAAGGACCAGGAGTCTTTTTCCACAGTTCCGAATACCTATTCAAGTGTTTCAACGTTCATAACGTCATCTGTAATATTGGTAATGTCAGCTGTTTGATAACGATAACCTTTCAATACAGTACCAGGGGTTTTTCTAAACAGGGGAACAAGGGCGCTGCGCCCTCATGTGACAAACCAGCGCCCTCATATCAATTTTCAGATTGAAGCCTAAGTCTTTTTCAAAATTATCTTTTTCCAGTAAAAATACAAAAACAACACCAAATAACAATGTATTCTAGCATTACAAACTATGTTACTCTCATGAAAATTCCAAAATCTTACCATAAACATGAAAATTTAGCTCTAGTAGTAAAAGTCTGAATGGAGCAAACATAGTTCATTGAGAACTTGCCCAAAGACTACAAGTAAGCCTCCTTCATTTGCATACTATAGAACAGGCTCTGAAGTGAAACATGAGACCTGAGTTTGTAGCAGCTTGGATGAATGTGTTGCAAGTTGCAACTTTGCCATGGGAAAGGGTTGAGCTTGTGGCAAACCCAATGTTGTCATCTGGAGCTACTAGTAAAATTGATCACTAATTGTTTTAAGTGTATAAAGGGTGATTTGCACATTGTGTGTACTGTTGATTGTACTTTATATTTTATAAAGGAAATATGCAATGCATGAATAGAAATTTAGGAAAGATATTGACAAAAAACATTGAATTATTTTAGTCTATCTATCCTTCTCCTATGGCTTTTACATCCATTATAGTACTGAAAATTTGTATTGAGCACTGTATCTAGCATATTGTAAATTTTGTGCAAGCTAAAATAGCCTTTGAAGGTGTTGTAAAATCCAAGTAAACAGACCTTTTTCACAATCATAGTTGTTTATTTTCAAAGAAACATACAATGAAAGAGTTCAAATTTTCCCCCTCAAGTAACCTCAAACTGTCCCATTTCAACTTCAAATTTTCAAAGGCTTCACATGGCGGAAGGGGGGATACCCCCCTTCCGCACCAACCCCCCCTCGGTCGCTTCGCTCCCTCGCCGTGATACCGCTCCCTCATGCCAGATTTTTCTAGAAAAACCCCTGCAGTACTAAGTTTCTGTATTTCCAAAGTTTTAAGACATTCTTTAGTCTTTCTATCTTCTTTTTCCAGTTCAACACTGTTAACAAACATTTGGGTCATATCCAAAATAGATACCAATTGGCCCTTTGGTCCATTCTAAACCTAACATACTCTTAGAGAGTTCTATGTTTCATGGAAATTGGGTAATTTTGTTGAAAGTACTAGTGCTTATTGTATCAAGACAGGGTGCATTGTTTAGAAAACAAAACTAAAACACCCTAGCCCTCATTATAACATTGCAAAGCATACATGGAAGTTACATAAAAATTGTAAATAAAGTACCTTAAAAATGTCAACAAGGCTTTGTGCCCAGCTTGCTTCAAGAAGTCCCACGCACACGTCCCCTTCCAGCCCTGTTCCTGGTCAAACTCCACTGTTATTGTAAAGTTGTATGACAGTGCAAAGGTAGGTCATGAGTGAGGATATTATGTTACGATCTCTGCTGGCAGGCATGACTCTGACAATGTAGCGGACGGTGACAACTCATGAATTGATCAATAGAAATGCCTCGATACCTACGTAACATTACATGGATACTGCACTGACAAGTTACGTATAAATACAAGGTCAAATGAAACGACACTATGTGATTTCATATCTGTCCAAATTTAGTGGAAAATCCTCCAATCTTTCCGACTTAACGTCACACAACGTTATAAGTGTGGCAAGTAATCGCTGTCGCGTCGTTCTCTAATAAATTGATCATCACATGTCACCACTCTCAAGCAAAACAAAGGGAGTAGGTGTCGACACTGTTTCGGATAAAATGACCATTGAGCAATTCCAAAATCCAGTGTGGTTTACCTTCCCTCCGTTTACTATTGAAATCGTTTTTTTCTTCTCTTGTACTGAGATTTAGAAACACGAGGAAGTATCAAATGACCGGGCACAATTTAACAAGATGCTTGTCACTTTCTTCACCTTGTAAATTTCATACTTCCTAAGGGCCGAAGCAAAGGTTACATATCCAAGGATAGGATAGGTCGTGTGATCGGCAAGTAACGATTTTAAATTTTCTCCTGAATAGCTGTACGTATGGGGAGGGAGTACGGCTAGTACAGTACGTACAGGCCGCAGATAATACTGTATGACACGAGCCAGACGTAACACAAAACTCTCATTACCGCAAGAGTCACAAAGTTACGTACATTAGTGATATAGTGTCCGTACATTTGAAGGAGGAAGTACTGTTAGTATAACGTTACTAACTACGAAAGTAAAGTACATGAACCACCGTAGTACGCCCGTACTAAGTAGACGGCAGTTGTAGTGTTGTGTATAACTATTGTGTTGGGTTTTGTTGTTGTCACCATTTTGCTCCTAAAACGCCTGATGACAGCGGCGGCGGCGGGTTGTACCGCGGGAGCAGTCCGCTTGTACATCTACGCGCTGTGACGGCCAGTGGAAAAATGATCGGCTCGGCTCTGGGCACCGTAGTTGACCCCAATATATACCCGTTCGAACGCGCCGCAAACGCGCCGAACGTACCGGGCACCTTCGGTACCGCCTTCTATACAACAGCTTTACGTTTTAAGTAATGATGCTGAGGGAAATGTGTACGAAGCATTTGAGGCTACTCGTGTTGCGTTATTGTAATACAGTCAGGGGAACACCCCTGTACAACAATTGTATTTGTCTAGGCCATCTGCATATCCTCTTTAATCATATCAAAGAGAAGTTCCCATACTTTGAACACTTGAATGCAAAAGATAGATTTATATTTGTGATACGTCTAGACAAACCCTGTATCACAAACATGATCTGTTCCCACATTTTCCATTGTACAAAAAAGCGAGAAGAAGTTGACCACTCTGTATTAGCTTAGTAAGCAGAACACTTTGTATTAGTCTAGTATAGTATCCGTGTATGTTCCCTGTATGTCTGAGCCAAGTGGAGTATCTTTTGTCTCCACTTTTCTAAATACGTTTGTTATGTGTCAGTTAAGTCTTGACCTGTACCTAGCCCGTCGTGGCATGAATGTACAATACAGGTATTCATTCATTAAGTGGCTCACTACGAAAAGCAGGTCAAAGACTGCACTCCCCTCTTTGGTTCCGACCGACCATTGAGCAGGGCCACGTCTGTACCTTCCTACTAACCATACCTGGATTAAAGCATCTAAACTCAAGTTCAAGGCTCTGTCATCAAGTGTCCTATCAAAGAACACGACGCAGTGTCACATCAATTCGAACGAAGCGTTTTTGTAGAAGAAGTAGTGGTTTTAGGATTGTGGAATATGTACTAGCCCATACTATGTTACAATACGATAGATAAGAATATATAAAACTATAATGTGATAAATGATTTTGAGGATAGAAGATTTGCAATTTTTCTAATTAAACTTATGTTTTATATTTTTTGGCAAGTTAGCTCTGACAACATGTTTTTCCAGCTTAGTTCTCCATCTTTGGTGACACCTAAAAGGCATGTGTGCGTTACTTGATTCATGAACATGTTATTTATAACTATTTGGACCTTTTCTTTATTGTATTTTTGATTAATCCCTGTGAAAAGAATAAAATTTCTTTTCTTGACATTTAAAGATAATTTATTTGCCTGGAACCATTTATCTATTTTATCCAATTTGCAATTTATTTTACTTACTAATACATCAAGATTTAGAGTGAGATGCAAACAAGTTAGTGTTGTCAGCGAACAAAAGTGCATATGTGTTTTTATAGAACGTCCAGCATACTCCTCTCCTAAACTACAAAGAACTCGATACTAGTATACCGACCGACAGGTCATTCGAGGCACATGATTTGACATGTTAGTCCTTTGTCGAATATACAATTTCTAAGACATGATTTTTGCAGTTTCTGTGCGTAGTGGATGAGCTTGGGCTAGAAACATGCGTGTTATCAATCCACTTCTGGAAGAGTGTTACAATCTGCATCCAAGGATCAGCGTTCCTAGAGCGGACAGACAAAATCTTTCCAAGCCTGAAGAAAAAAGTGGAAGGAAGTTTGAAAAGTAAGTTTCGAAATGGCGACCCGACTCCAAGTGACGCCGCCGGAAACAAAGACAGTGACACCAGAAGTAACTCGACAACCACTCTGAAAGGTAAGACTTTGCTACCATCCAATGTTGAAGACACATCGTCCGAAATCAATGATCGTTCAGATGAAACCCCTGTCAAGGCCCCTATAGGTACACCAAAGAAGAACAGATTAAGAAAAGCTGTTGAAAACCTCATCAGCCCTTTCAGGACTCCGACTCAATCTATTGATTCACCATTGAACTTGAGCAATACCGTGTTGGACGCTGAAAACCCAACTCCATCCAACCATGTGAAAGACTCGAGTACACAGTGCGACGACTTTTGTCTTTTCTCTTAGACTCTGTTGTCGTGCCCCTACCTCTTGGTAGTAATCCAATAACGTGACTCCAAGCTGGAATACTTGAATCGGCTTGGTTTATTCTCTAGTCACCCACTCAGACCTTCTGTCTGGCTCGTCTCTTCTTGTCGTCTGACGCTACGCATCCGTGTTATTCTTTATGTTAAGTAAGCTGCTTAAACATTACCACATGTTACATCCCCTTTTCTTTAGTTACATTCTCTCAACGGATCTTTTCCGATCTTACACATTCACATATCTTTTGCCTTAGAGTTCTTTGGCATGTCAGTTCTTATGCACACTAGAGTCCTTGTGCTTTCTGGTCTTCTCCAGGTTCTCTTCCTGTTAGTTCATTAGTTTGTTAGTTCAGTCCTCGAGTTCTACTTCAAAACTGCATGCATTACATAATCACTCGCTGACGTAATCCTTCAGGCGCGCACGTAATCCTTCAGGTGTGCTGGTGGTTGCACAACTCGGCCGGACCTCGTTGTCATCGGCTGTCCGTGTGCAGCTGCGTGTTCCACTGGCACTGTTGTATCAGCTGCTGGTGTTGTCGGTGCTGGACATGGAGGGTTGTTTTCTTCCTCCACGGCGGTCATGTCTGGGGCTTCCTCGTTTGTTTTACGTAGGTGCCTCCTGTTTCTGCGGTAGCTGCCTCCGTCTTCTGTTCTTATCTCATATGATCGCTTCCCAACCTCCGCTACCACTGTTGCCTTCTTCCACTGTTTAGCGGTTGGGGTCATTGGTTGGCATCTTACTATGTCGCCAGCCTTGAGATCGGGCAAGTCTCTAGCTTGTCTGTCGTAGTACTTGCGCTGTCTCTTCTTTGCTTCTTGGAGTTTACTCGGAATGTCGCTCTGAACTCTCGGTTGGAGGAGGTTTGTCTTTATCGGCATGGTAGTTTTCGTCCTCCTGTTGAAGAGTCGTTGAGCCGGACTACTTCCGATCTCTTGCGATGGTGTGTTTCTGAAGTCTAGCAACGCTAGATACGGGTCGCTCTGTGCTAGTCTTGCTTTCTCCAGGAGTCGTTTGGTCGTCTTAACTGCGTTCCCCACCTTCCCATTGCTCTGGGGGTATCCTGCTGATGACGTTTGGTGCTTGAAGTTCCACTCACGGGCAAACTTCTCAAACTCTGAGGACGCAAACTGTGGTCCGTTGTCTGTCATCACTACGTCGGGAATGCCGTGTCTGGCAAACTGCATCTTCAACTTTCTGATGATGGTGGTGGACCGTGTGTCCGCTTCGCAGGTGTCTATCTCACAGAAGTTTGAGTAGTAGTCAACTGTGATGAGGTATTCTCTGTTATGTAGTGTGAAAAGGTCGACTCCTACCTTTTCCCATGGTCGTTGTGTGACGGGGTGTGGAATCAGGCTTTCCTTTTGTTGCCTGTTCCCGACTGATTGGCACACGTCACACCTTGACACTAAGTCCTTTACCTCTGCGTTCATCCCGGGCCAATATACACAATCCTTTGCGAATCTCAGGCACCCTTCAGTTCCCATGTGTGACTGATGGATTCTCGTGAGCATCCGTTTCCTCAGGGACTTTGGTATCGTTGCACGATCTCCCCTCAACACTATTCCATCTTGTGTGCTGAGTTCATCACGCACATGGTAGTACGGCATCAGGTTTGGTGGCACTTCCTCCTTCTCTGGGAAGCCCTCTCTGATGTATGTCATCAGTGTCGTCATCTCGGGGTCTGCAATCGTGCTTTCCCGTATGTCATCTCTAGTAGGCGTGGAGATGAATTGGCTTATCATATTGACCTGCTCAGCCTCCTTCTCTGTTGTGCTTCTGCTTCCTTCTAGTGGCAGGTACGCACGGCTGAGAGTGTCCGCCAGGAACATCTCTTTTCCTGGTTTGTACGTTATCTTGACGTCGTACTGCTGCAACCGCATCAGCATTCGCTGCAGTCTCTTCGGTGCTGCATGAAGGGGTTTCAGTACGATCATTTCAAGTGGCTTGTGGTCTGTCTGGACACGTACTTGTCTTCCATAGGTGTACTGATGGAATCGTTCCAGACCGAAAACCACACTGAGCATCTCCTTCTCTATCTGTGCATACCTCGTCTCAGTGTCCGTCAACGCTCGGCTGGCGTAGGCCACTGGTTGTCCATCTTGAGTGATGGCTGCTCCTAATCCAGTGCTTGACGCATCTGTCTGCAGCGTCAGCTCTTCTTCCGGATCATAGTATCGCAACACTGGAGCAGCAGAGACCATCTTCTTGAGTGTCTCTAGGATACTCTCATGCGTCTCGGTCCACTCAAACTCGTTTTCTTTGGCGATGAGCTTCCTCAAGGGTTCACAGATGTCGCTCAGCTGGGGCAGGAACTTGGCTAGGTAGGTGACAAATCCTATCAGCCTCTGCACTCCTTGTGCATCTTCAGGTCTTGGCATCTTCATCACCGCAGTTACCTTGCTAGGGTCCACTTTCAGCCCTTGGCTGGTGATCAGATGACCATGAAATGGTACTTCTTGTTGTCTGAGCTTGACCTTCTCTGCGTTCAGCTTCAAACCTCTCTCTCTGCATCTTTGCATGAGGCGCTTGAGATTTGCATCATGATGTGAGATGGCTTCTGCCATTGTTTCTCCTTCTCCCCACACCAAGATGTCGTCTACGATGGGCTTTATTCCCTCGAGCCCTTCCAATGCTTGGTCAAGTCTTCTCTGGAATTCCTCTGGGGACGATTTAATCCCAAAGGGAAGGCGCTTCCAGTTGTATCTCCCGCTGGGAGTGTTGAACGTCGTTAGAAGCGAGGATTCTTCGTCCAACACTACCTGCCAATAGCCACTCTTGGCATCAAGTACGCTGAATACCTTTGCCTTCTTCAGCTCGGGAAGGATGTCTTCTATTGTTGGTGCAGGGTAATGGCTTCTCTTCAATGCGGTGTTCAAATCTCTTGGATCAATGCAGATCCTCAACTTTCCTGTTGGCTTCAGTACAGTGACCAGACTGGATACCCATGGGGTTGGCACTGTCACTGGCTCTATGACACCATCTTCCGTCATCTTGTCCAGTTCCTTCTGTAGTTGTGCCTTCATCGCCACCGGCACTCTTCTTGGCGGATGCACAACTGGCTTGACTGACTCATCAACTTCAAGATGGCATTTTCCTGGCAGTCTTCCCAAACCAGAGAAGACGTCTGGGTACATCTCTAACAGGCTTTCTTTTGTCAATGCCTTGCTGTGTGTACTCTGTATGAGCCTGGGCTTGCTGCCACTGAGTGCCAGGATTCTGTCGTAGTGAACCGTCACAACCCCTATCTGCTGTATGGCATTTGATCCTAACAATGGCATACTACCAGAGTCAATGACTACAAAGTTCACCACGTACCTCCGCCCAGTCTTGGGGTTTGTCATCTTGAGATTTGTCTCTCCCTCTGACACAATTTGTGAGTTGTTATACATCGTCAGCACCCTCTGCGCTCCAGTTGTCTTATACTGGATGTTGTTGCTGTCCAAGATGTGTTTTGGCATTACATTACAGGTCGCGCCAAGGTCTAGCTGAAAGGTGACCAGGTGTCCCTCGAGGGCCATCCTGGCATGCACCTGCTTTGCATACCTGGGACCTGACATGCTGTACGTCTTCTCTTCTTCTGTGACTGTCATCACTGCTTCTTCTTGCAGCATGTGCACCAAGGGCTTCTTTCTACCTTGTGCCTGGTTTCTGCCGCTTCTAGGCTGCTTCGTCTCACCACTCCGGCATGCTCTCGCGAAGTGGTTTCGCTTACCGCAGGAGGCGCATTCCTTTCCATATGCAGGACATGCTTCCTTGTTGGCTGCGTGTCTCTTGGCGCAGTATTTGCAAACTGATGTCCTACTGGCCTGCGGAGCTTGTGGCTTCTTCTTTACCACGTGCACTGTGACCTGTTCCATCGTCTGGATGCTCTGCTTGGAGACTTCTGCGGCTCGGCAGATCTCTGCGCATTTCTCAAGGCTTAGGTTGCTCTCCCTCAGGAGTCGTTCGCGAACCTTTCCGTCCAAAATGCCGATGAGTATTCTGTCTCGAATCAGAGACTCTCTAATCTCACCAAACCCACACTCTGCCGCGAGTGTCTTCAGGTCTGTGATGTATTCATCAAAAGTTTCACCATTGCTCTGTGATCTCGTGAAGAATTTGTATCTTTGTACTGTCTCGTTCTTCTTAGGATTGCAGTATGTCTCAAATGCTGCGACGATTTGCTCTACAGTTCGGTCTGCTTCCGCAACTGCTTCATTCTGAGCATTCACAATGGTGAAGGTGCCATACACTTTCCGTGCATTTTCTCCAATTAAGTACAAGAGCGTCTTTCTCTTCTTTGCAGCGTCATCCTCTACTCATCCTCTACTGCTAGATCAAGATATAACAGTATTTCTTCCTTCCAACGTTTCCAGGTCAGACTTAAGTTTCTTGAATTAACATCAAGTGGGCCAGGAGCTCTCAAACTGTGCCCTTCCGCCATCTTAGGCTACTGTTTACAAGTTGTCACTCTAATCAGCTCCTAACTAGTCAGTGATAGATGACGTCTTTGCCACCTATGCCCCTAGACTAGCTCTTGTTAGCACTGACAAATCCTAGACATCAGAAATTCGTCTGACCTGTTTCCTGGACGCTTGAAACAATGGGCCTCTCTTTTCCTCCGTCTGTTTCTTGGAAGCTTGGGTTGAACTTCTCGTTTCTTCTCAACGTTGTAGGTTCTCATCCCACTTCTGACACCATGCGACGACTTTTGTCTTCTCTCTTAGACTCTGTTGTCGTGCCCCTACCTCTTGGTAGTAATCCAATAAAGTGACTCCAAGCTAGAATACTTGAATCGGCTTGGTTTATTCTCTAGTCACCCACTCAGACCTTCTGTCTGGCTCGTCTCTTCTTGTCGTCTGACGCTACGCATCCGTGTTATTCTTTAATATGTTAAGTAAGCTGCTTAAACATTACCACATGTTACACACAGGAACACATTACCAGAGATATCCAAAACATTACACGGATCTTGTGGACTTAGTCAACACTCTACAATTAGACATGAATGTGCTGAAAGTTGAGCAAGAAAGATAATAGGTCCAATTTGAAAAATAATTGAAGGCTGCCTCCTGTGAGTGGAAAAAACAGCTGGTTGAAGAAAAGACAAGGCATGCAAATGAGATTCAGAGTGTGAAGAGCCGCCACAGTGAGGAATCGCCAACCTCACAGCCCAGTGTTGATTTCTTCAGTCCTTCGTTGAAGCACAACAGCAGGAAATTGTAAAACTATAGGAAGTGTCTGAATCAATTCAGTTTTCTCAATCCATCTCATCATATGCAGACACTGTACGTCTTAGCACAGGTGACCCAAAACCTGGTGGAGATACCCACAACCACGAGGACAAACAACAACATGGGAAAAAAGGGAACCTCATTAGCGATTTTTCACATTGGATCAAATGACTTGGACAACACCCGACAAGACGAATCTTCAGTACAAGACTGCCTACAGAAAACGGAAGAACTCGTCACACGTGCCAAAATGTCCTTCCCAAACGCAACAATTGTCTTGTCACAAGTTCTACCAAGAGGCCATGTCTCCGACTCATCTCTGAACAGAAACATCAAAAACTACAACCAATCTGTGCCTCAAACGTACAAGGATGCTGACAAAATGCCGTGCATACGCCGGAAGAAACTGTCAACATCAAAACACCTCTACAAGCGAAATGGGATCCACTTAGATGACTTTACAGGCACGAGTCTTCTAGTGGCAGACTTTAAAAGGACCATCCGCTCTATGGAGAACACACACGACCAGCCCCGACCGGGACAGGACCGCGGTAGAGCCCAGAGACCTGCTGTTCCACTGGATCGTCCTACAAAGTTCCCTGATACTACCAACCGAGCACAGCAGTACCGCGGCCGGGACAGATCTACATACCCCCGCCGTGCCGATGAGGATTACACTCCGGTAATCTCCAAGCAGATGTTTCGATGGCTGCAAAAGACAGTATCAAATGGGCCAGACGGTATCAAACGGGCCATCAACATCTGCGACCACTCGGTTTCAACAAAGGCTATTAACACCTAGTTGTTGCCTAATCAAAATGTGCTTGTCAAGTAGTTTATTGCCCTCCTTGTCTCTTGTGGGCCAGCTGGTTGACTGTTACAGGAAGTCTAGAGATCTACGGGTCACTACACCAACTGTTAGTGTTATTTTGGACAGGTTTAACAATGGAGGAGAAGGTTCACCTTGTGTTTCGTGATGTCTGGGGTTTTGAACCATAAGAACCACAGTTATCCATTTCTATGTTTCAGCCAGCAATCTTTTTAGTACCGAGTTACTACCTGGTTCAGTATTTGTGCCTTACAGTGAGGCAGGAAGTCCCACTGAGACGTGTGCGGGTGACTGATTTTGTCCCAGATTCAGGCCTTAAATGGCTTGTAAAAGCCTTAGTGCCTGTATGATTCACATTGGTGTCAATAGGACACAAGGAGGGGCAACGACACCAGTATTGAATAGAAATGCTCCTCCCTGTTTCAGTGCACGCAGATGCTAAATGTCCCGTTTGATACTGTCTGGCCAATTTGATACTGTCTTTTGCAGCCATCGAAACATCTGCTTGGAGATTACACTCCGGGACAGTGGAGACGTCAGCGTCCCAGCTGGAACCGATCCCAGCCCGACTCACCGTCAGAACATATACCAAATTTATTGAATATCAAGTTAAGGTACTCATTTATACGTATACAATATGCCCATATGTGTTTAACAACATACGTAATTGCTCTTTGCTTTTTGCTTCGCGTAGATTTTTCCATGAAAATTCATGTGGCCTTACGCCTTAGTAGTTGGAATATCGAAGGTAGTCTTAGTAAAAAGTGTGTAGAAGTAGATTTTTAGATAGTATATGTAAGTATGATATGATTTGTATTCCAGAAACATGGCTAAAACCTGATGATAATTTCCATATAGATGGTTATCACTACTTTCGGAGTGACAGAAAACTTAAGAAGCGATCTAGGAGAAATTCCGGTGGGGTCGCTCTTCTTTTTAACAAAGTCTCGTGAAAGGATTATCGAAATTACAAAGTAACAATTCTGATATTATTTGGTGTTAGCTAGACAAAAATTTCTTTGGTTTTGACAGAGATGTAATTCTGGGCTGCTTGTATCTCCCCCCTGAAAATTCACCAGTATTTAAAACAAGAAAGAACACATTATTCGAAGATTTTACGGTTGACCTTGCTAAATTCAACAACATGGGACATGGTCTACTTCTTGGCGATCTAAATAATAGAACTTCCAACTTACAAGAACAACTTTTCGATGGATTGGATGAAAATGCCTCTGAGATCCACTTAAAACCCAGAATTAGTACAGACAAAATGAGTAAATAAATATGGCAGTGAACTAATTAATTTGTGCTCTGCTGCTAATATGATTATAGCAAAAGGGAGGGCCATTGGAGATCTCCCAGGAAAAACTACCAGCATAAAATACAATGGAACAAGTACGGTATATTACTGCATAGCTAGTCTAAATATTTTCTCTTTAATACAGTATTTTTAAGTTGATGATCCATCTTGGATGTCTGACCATTGCCAAATATCCGTTTGTCTCAAAACAAACCATCAAAATTTTAGATACAAAACTGAAGAAAAAATTCTTGCTCACCCCAAAAAATATATTTGGAATGTCGCCTCATGTGGAAAATTTCAGGAGGCAATCTGTTCACCACAAGTACAAAATGATATACAAGAGTTCATTTCAAAACCGTACACAGGTAATCAAACAAAAAATGTTGTTAATGATTTTAACAGTATCATTAAGCTAACAGCCGACTTATCATTAAAATCAATTCGAGTTTGAAACGTAAAAAGAAGCCTATCAATAAACCCTGGTAAGACCAGCAATGTCGCGATCTGAAAGCAAAAAAGAGAAGCCGTGCTGCTGAAATTAGGAGGTCTCCATGACGAGAAGACAAAAGGCAACATTTTGTATTCAAGGTTAAAGAGAAGCATATAAAGAAGAGAAAGAAACATTTTAATGAAAATGGCGTCTCTAAGCAAATTAGCTAGAAAAGAACCAAAATCATTTTGGAGTGAAATCAATAAATTACGAAACCTTGAAAACGACACTACGGCTGAGACAGGAGGCTAGGTATCAACTAAAGAATGGCTAGATCATTTCAAAAAATAAATAAGAACACCATAGTCGATAAGAAAGAAAAAGAACACACAGATAAAATCATTACATCTCTAGAACATCGAACCGATAGCCCACTGGACTTTGAAATTACTGAAGAAGACATTCAAAACAGTTTAGGTAACTTTAAAAAAAAATCTTGCGGAACAGACTCGATCATCAACGAAATGTTAAAATCTGGCGTCCCCCAACTCATACAACCCCTCAAAATATGTTCAACTTTTTACTACATTCTGGACACTTTCCTCAACAGTGGACCCAGAGAACTCTTGTTCCAATCTATAAAAGCGGCGAACCATGAAATCCAACCAATTACAGAGGAATAGCCATCTCCAGCTGTGTTGGCAAATTATTTACTTTCATCCTCAACAAACGTTTACAAGACTTTTTAGAAAGATCCGATATACTATCTCCTTTTCAGTCTGGTTTCAGGAAACATTATAGAACAAGCGGCAACCTCTCTGTGTTAAAAACGCTTATCGACAAACACACGTCTAAACCTGGGGGTAAGCTTTATGCCTGCTTTGTCGATTTTCGAAAAGCATTCGATTCGGCGAAACGAACTGTTTTACAAACTTTTATCTTCAGGAATAGGCTATAATTTTAAAATCCATGTACCACAATATAGAATACTGCGTAAAAAAAACCCTGAGAGCACTGGACCAGTTTTGCTCACTATGGAAATTATCTATTAATAAGAACAAAACAAAAGTGATGATGTTCTCTAAAAATGGACGGACTGCCGGCAATAAACAGTCACCTTTCAAATCTCAGGGTCAAACTATAGAGATAACTAGCTACTACACGTACTTAGGAATAGATGTGACACCGTCAGGATCCTTTAGTCGTGCCATTAAACATTTAAGACTAAAAGCTAGCTATCGATCTGTTCAACAGTTTGGTTAAACCCATTTTACTCTATTGCAGCGAACTTACTGGAATAAATACACAATGTAGAGATTTGGTTTTTAAAAGTATTGAGAATTATAATACTGATAACGTTAGAACATTCATAAGTACCACACTAAAATCGTTGCTGGGGTCAGAGGTTGACATACTAGGTGTTA